CACACGCTTCATCACTGTTATTCAAATGAAAAGTATTTGACAGGAAAGAGTACTCTGTGCGCTGTTTGCTAGAGTATCCAGGGAGTTTGATAACGACAATAAAGGAGAGAATTAGTGTAGGATAGTGGAAGAATATACAACAATTTTCACTGCCAACCAGACAAGAGGAAAGAGGAGTACTGTAGAGTGCTCTGATCATGAATTGTCAAAAAAAGGATATTAACCTGCACTTGGACAGCAACATTAAAAGTCTGGACTTCAGACAATATCTAAATGTGAAAGAAAAATCCAGGCAAGCCCCTGTGCTCACAGCTGTTTCGTTTTAAGTCTGCAGGACCATAGGAGGGTAATGATAACTGAACATCATGAAAGCCACAATTACAGATTGACTTCTATTTGGCAAAGTTTTGGTTCTGCCTTGATGGTCAGAGATGCTTGGCACCACATCAACCTGGAGCCCTCTAATTCTACACTTGGTTGGATTTCAGGGGCTCCACTAACTTAGAACATATCAGGGGCAATGGGCACAAACTGAAACACAGGAATTTCCATCTGAATATGAGAAAAAAAAAACTTCTTTACTTTGAGGGTGACCAAGCACTGGAACAGGCTGTCCAGAGAGGTTCTGGAGTCTCCTTCTCTGGAGATATTCAAAATCCCCCTGAACACAACCCAGTGCAACATACTCTAGGTGAACCTGCTTTAGGAGGGACTAGATGATCTCTGAGGTCCCTTCCAACCTCAACCATTCTGTGATTCTGTATTTTTCAACTTATGAAAGCAGAAACAAATGACTAATTAAGTAAATCTCTGAAGCTGCCAATAGGCTAAAGGTTTTCAGCAGATTACTAAGCTGGAATCACGTCACATAAACAATACAAAATACATGCCTTACAGAGCTACATTACAGAAACTACAGAAATAAATACGAAACAGCAGAACACAAACTGAAGAATTAAATACCTTTAAACTAGATAGATAATTTTGCTAAGAAGCTTGAAAACAGATTAAAGATTGAAAGTCATTTATAAACCCAAGTGGTGTTCTAGACACTGAGAGCAGTGTAACAGGAAAATTAAAAGACCAGCAGATAGATCAGAGAGGACAAAAAAGACTGAAAGTATTCATATAAGAGACTGAAGGAAGCTTAAGGGAAGCATCATTTCCCTTCCCCCTTCTTTTTTCCCCTTCAAAATTTCCAAATTTTGAGCAGAAATGCAAACAGGCAGTGACTGTGTCCATAAATGTTTGTACTTCCTTATGTAGATGACAAACAGAGGGCAAATGATGTGTTATGGGAAGATTAAAAAACATCTTAATGTGTGAAATTTTAACAGCAATTAATAATAACAATGTTACTGTCTAGGCAGGATGAGAAACCTTCATTTCTGGGATACCTAATGTTATGCAAATTTCTGAAGGAACTAATTCACAGATATATCTAAATGGGGGATAGAATAACAGCACATACTATTCTTAAGAAACCGTAAGAAAATAATATATACTAAAGGGGAAAATATCATTCCTGCTGCTTCAACTGAAAAACAGGACGTTACCAAAATTTGGGCTACCAAAATACTTGAATTTCCAGCTTACTCTCTCTTTCCCCTGATGGTTTTCTATTTTCTTATTTGAACTGCTGTCTTATTATCTAAAGAAATATAATAACCTAAAAACCATTACACACATTTGTTAAGTGTATTTTATATAGATAGCATGGAATACAGGAGATGCACCAATTTAAGTGACAAGGGGAGCATATCCCATAGTATGCTATATAGCAATGTGGTACAGTAAACATGACTAGACTGTGAGTCTCACTGAGTCAACATGGGATTCCAATCTTTATTTGTCCTTTTACAAATTAAATGCAGCTGGAGCAAAGTGTAACGTAAGGCTCAGATGCAGAAAAGGCCTTAAAAGATGAGGGCTAAGACTAATCACTAGCTCAGTCTCTCAAAAGCTCCAGGTTTGTGTGACTAGGGGCTTGGAAAGTCAGTTCTCTACCATAGAATGTGATGTTTCCAACCGTGGTGTGGTTAATAGTTCCTCCACAGAGGGCTTACTTTATATTTACTTGAATCTTACAGCAATTTTAATTATGTCATCCAAACAATCTCAGTCTGCAAGAGGATGTGGCATTCTATAGAACAGCAGAAATGGACTTAAGTTTAAGGTCAGGGAACCAACTGCTTAGTTAATTTAAGTAACTAGAGTACTTTGATGCCCAAATAGGGAAAAATGTTAGTAGCAGAATGTATGTAGCACCATGCTTTGGGGTGTTTCATGCATCCAGGCAGCTTTGCCAAAGAATTAAACTTGTGAAAAATAATAAGTACACCTTATTTCATGTATCACTTGCAATAACTGCTTTAGTTACATTTCTGTATTTCTGCTGACCTAAAAATATCTCCATAGGAGATAAGAGAGGTGCTAGAACAACCAGATGGTACTTGCTTATATTTATAACATTCAAGTCTGGTGATAAACTACATGAAACATGATAAAAGATTAAGAAATGCCTGCACTACAGTGAGAAATAAAGGTTTAAAACAAATTTTTTGAGGTTATATAGTAAGCTCAGCTAATGGTTTGAGACATTAAGGTGGACAATGAAAAAAGTTGTCTGTAATTTGCAGGATGTTGGCCTCATGTAAACAAGAAATGACCTAGCCTAAGTCCTGATTTTAGGTATATTCACACACATACATAACTGTTGGCATAAAAACAGTTCCATGATTACAAAAGTACAATATTTTCCAGAATTAAGGCTTATTCAGGAGTATTTGCCCTCCTACATAACTTACCCTGGAGCAACTAAGAAAAATAATACTTTCAAATTTACCAAATAAAATCTCCATTTTCATCTTGGTTCTGCTCTTGCAACGGCTCCTACTTCCTTCACATGCTATGAGATTTTCTTCTTTCACCTTCCTCTAGGAGATTTGCAATATAAATCCCTTTAAAAGACACAATGAGTTCTTCAAGTTCACTTAGAAACAAAAAGCTAACACAACTCAGCGTCAGACTGGTTGGAGGGATCCCAGACCCTCACGTACTGCAGAGGTACCTTTTGTCACTTATTAGCACCACTTCCCTTTGAAGAGGTAAGAACTCCATGAATATTTTTTCTCTCAAAACCAGTAATACCTGGAATTTATTTGACTAATGGGGTAATATGTCTAATGTAAGTATTTACACCTGAGCCTGTTACTCTTTCACAGTCATGGGAACTCATGTCCAGAGTATGATTAATCTCATCAGAAACTAAAATAAAATAGATAAAACACACCCTAAAATACATCTTTTTCAATTTGATCTAAAGAGAGCTCTAGGATACCAACATAGCTTAAGAGTGCCTACAGTGTAACATCTAAAGGTAAACAAGATATCTCACATCAGGTTTCCTGTATTCCAAGCTTTCAGATGCTGAAGAGTATTTTACCTTTTTCTGCAAGACTGAGGACTTCATTGGGAGATTTTTCTCCCATGGAAATATTTGCTCACTGTTACTGTGCTTTACCACAAAGACTATCCTATTAGGACTTCTGCAATTCTGGAAAACAATCTTGTATTTCTTGCCATAAACCCATTGCAGTTTGTCAGCACACCATCTGCTCTACATACATCCCGCTCAGATATGACCTGCTGTTAGTGGTTGCACCAGTGTCAAATAGGGAAAGTAACCAACCTCCCAAATAATCTCTGAAATTCCTCAGGTTATACAGCTCTTAAGTAAATTATCCCTGTTGACTTCTTCAGAGCTCAGGGAGCACATGCTTAGCTACCTACTCATTAGAATCCCAAGTCTTTTTCAGAGCCACTGTCTCACAGCACAGTCCCTGTTGCTGTAAACATCTTGCATTTTGCTCTTAGGTGTGTGACTTACAGTGAAGTTGCTTAGCTGTGCCTCACAAAAACACCAAGGCACTGACATGAGCACTTCAGACCCCTGTAAGGTTCAGCAAATGATGCCTCATTACCGACCTCATTTCTATTTTCCAGTTTCCCCTGTCCTCTCTTCTTCAAACCTTTCCTGGGGCCCTACCAACTTAAACTCACCTTCTCCATCCCCATGTTCATTCCCTGCGTTGTGCTTACACTCTCCTCACGTGCCATACTGGTAAGTTAACACTGCCCTATCTAAGGGGGATCATTTTTCACCCTATCTTGCTGCTCCCCCGTTTCTCCTTCACTTCGTTTTCAAATGCCAGCTGTGAACTTCCCCCTCATTTGAAGCTCTCAAATCAGCTTAAAATTCACCTCCTTTACTCGAACAGTTCTCACAACCCCCCAGTGACCCATTCCTGACGTGAGTTCAAATCCCACGCTCTCCTGACCCCCTCTGACACTGCCACCTGCCCGCTACGTCAAAGGGCCTTTTCCTCCAAGTTTCCACCATCCCGACGACAACTGTCGATTTACGGCAGCCAAAACATTTTAATATTTCCTTGACGCTCCTCGCAGGGCACCTGCGGTCCCCAAGCAGGCTGGGGCTGAGGGGGTTACCAGCGCCCGAGGACGTCTCCAGTCTGCGGCGAGTCTCCCGCCGCTTCCCTCCCAGCGCAGCCAGGAAAGCGAGAGGAAACGCGCCCCGGCAGTGACCGAGGCGAGGAAGCGGCCGGTCTGAGCTCCGGGGACCTGTCGGCCGCGCCCTCCCGCCTGGGGGGCAGGGCCGGGCTGGGCCGGGCGGTGGCTCCGCCCCGCTGCGGGGGCGCCCGCGCCGGCACAGGCGGCTCCGCTCGCCGCGCTGACGCCAGCGGCGCTGGAACACCTGGAGGGGCGGCGGCGGCGGCCGCGGCCCCTGCGGCTCGGCCCTTCCTTCCCCTCCGCAAGGTGAGTGCGGGAGGAGGGGCTCGCTGGGCTCCGTACCGGGCCCGGGAGGGGAGCGCCGGTGCCGGGCAGCCCCGGGTGGGCCCCGTTCCCCCCGCGGGAAGCCCGCTCGGGGCGAGGGGGGCGGCGCGGCCGCCAGGCCTGTGGCGCTGGTGCCTGAGGTCGGGGTGTCCGCGGCCAGACCTGTCCAGGGGGACATCTCTGAGGCACAAGATGGCATCTGCTCCTCCTTGTGCCTTGTGTTCCCCCTCCCGCCGTGCGGTCGTCTCTCCATGATTATTGCATTTATCCGTTTGTGCCTCCCGTACATCCTCCCTGGCTCTGTGCCCGCTGGAAGCGGGGAGGGAAACGGCCGGTTCTCCTCGGCGGTTTTCGGCTGGGCTGCCGGGCTGAGGCGCAGGTTGCCCAGCTGCGGTCCATGCTGCTCTGGGGCCCTGCCGGATCGAGAGGGGTGGCGGGGCATCCTCTGGTCGGGTAATGTCAGACATCAAACCGGCACCGAGGCAGTGACAGCTGGGGAAATGGCAATTCAAGAAACCCAAATTTCTGAGTTAAAGCTTATAATTTGTGAACGGTTGATCTTTATAATCAGATTTGTTCTATATCCCTCCACCTGATCCGTGTAGGCTGCTCTAGTAATTTAAAAGAAAAAGGAAAACATCAGGTCAGTTCTTAGTAGGAGAAAAGGGTGAAGGGCACTGTGCTCTTTTATTTGTTGGTATCATTATGGATATGTTCAGTGCCAAATGTAAATAAGTCTCCTGTTCCACACTGTTTTGCATAATGATGATAGCCTCAAGGATGTGCATGGCCTCTTAAAACAGTAACTCGGGTTTGTCTTAGTTCAAATGTATAAATGTGAAACTGAATCGGGAAGTCTCAGGGGTACGTTCTTTAACCTCTTACCCCCAAGTTACATTGTGGTAGTATTTTGGAAGCTTGGCATTGGAGTTGTTCTTCTGTTTGGTTGTTTGTAATATTTTCCCTGTGTCTGCAAGCCTTGCTTTAAACCAAGGTGACCTTTTATTTCCATGAAGCACCTGTTAGTTGGTTTTGATGCCCCCCCCCCATGTTTAATTGTGTTATCCTCTTTCTTTCACTTTCTGGATAGATTTTATTTAATTTGGGTCTCAGAAAGCAGCTGTGACTCTTGTTTCAGAGCAGACTTCTTGGAAACAAATTGTTCTTGTGTTTTGCTCTAGCAAGTCTGTTTAAGGACAAAACTGTTTGATCACTTCTGCAAAGTGTTGGGCAAAGGAAATGGTGGGCTGAATTTTGGAGTCTGCAGTGCAGACTGCATTTGGTTATGACCTTTCATCTGATTTTTCTGGTAATCCACTCTTTTTCTACTTGGTCTATCCAAGGTTCTCAAGGAGAGAGTGTACGAACCCTTTGACAGTGCTATGTGTCTGACACAGATCTAGAAGTTGCAGTTTTTAGTGGTACTTAGCATGAAGTTCAGCAGCGTCTCATTTAGACTTTAGCAATTTTTTATACTGCTGTTTGAACAGGGGTAGCTTATTGGTGTAAACTGTGTAACGTAATGGTTTAAGGTTTATGTCAATACCACTGAAGGAGGAATTTAACATAGAGCCACACAGATCTTTTGAGTCGTGAACTGCCATAACTGGTATAACTAGTCACGTTTTTCACATGACAAACTCTACTGGAAGGTGATGTGGCAGGTAAATGCTGCCAAACCTTGGTCTAAATGAGTTTCTGAAGTTTCTCTACTGTCAGAACTTCATGGGTGAAACATCATTATGTCCAGAAAGGTTCAAGCATTTTACTGAAAAGTTTAGATACTGGTCATTGAAATTTGCTTCCTTCTTAGTTGAGAAAAAATTAAGTGCTTTTTAGATAATAATGATTTCTTCCACTGTGCATGTTGGAGTTGAAATTCAAATATGAACGTTATTGAAGATTTGCAGGTTCAAGAAGACCAGTTAGACTGCATGGAAAGGTTTCTTTAACATTTTTCTTTCACAAGCTTATATTATTGGGGTGTGGAGGGAATCACACAGTGCAAAGTAAAATTCCTTTTGAAGCCTACTGCAGGGTTAGGGGTTTTTTTTTCCCCTTAGTAGAGTTTCAGGCCCACCCTTCTTTCCATTTCTTCTCTCTTGTCCATACTTTACACAGCTCCTAATTTGTTCTGATGATTCCCCAAGTAGTCTTTTGTGGAAGAAATGAATAATAACATCTCTTTTGAGTCTTCAACTAGTGTTGAAAGCTGTCGGTACAAGTTGGCAGAAAAAAAATGTGCCAATATCTCATCTAAACTACTTCTTGAACAAAAAATGTTCTCGCAGTCTCTTTTTAATACTTTTTGCAAAATCTCTTTCAAGAGTATTTCTCTGTAATTGATTCTTCAAGATGTTTTTGCCACTTCTCAACCATAAAATCATTCTAAAGACAAAATTATGCCACGTGATGCAGAAGCATTAAAAATACAAAAGCCCGGAAGGTGAAGTTGGTTAAACAAAGAACCAAGCAGTCAAGAACAGTAGAAACATTTGACCTTTTAAGTGTTGCAGTAATAACAGTCTCACAGTAGTTTTTCCTGTGGCTATTGTTAGCCATGGCAAATTGAGGGGCATTTTGACCAGTTGTGCAATTCTTTATATCAATCTTGGGAACTGCCTGTACTGAGTCACAGAAACAGTACTCGGGTGCATCTTGCAAGTAGCTTCATAGGTATCAGCGGTGCTCTAGGAATAGTTGTGCCAGGATCTGAGAACAGTAATATAAAAGTTGAGTGGACTATGTGTCTGTGGAGAATATACAGCCTGCACTGATGGTGTTTACTCAAAGGGTGGTGAAAGGAGGTCACCCTGCATTGTTGTTGCTGTGCATGCTAAGACTATTTTGTTAATCAAATCTCTTATCCATGTATGTGAAGGGGAATCTAGAGAAAATTATCTTCTCCTGTTCCCTCGTCCAGCATTGTTTCTCCTTAGGTATAAATTGCTTTCTGTCTTCTGCATGGATGAAAAGGCAGGAGGGAGGCAGAAACTTGAGAGGGTTGACTGTGCCAGTAAATAGGGTATCTAATTAAGAGCCCTTAGTTTGAAGTTCTAAAATCATATATGTTTGTATGTAATATCCTACACATGCAAAAGGAGTTTTTTGGTAGTTTTGTCTGTTTGTTTGGGGGTTTTTTTGTCCACTGCTTTTCCTATAGGTTCTACAAGGGAAAGTTTCCTAATATTAAGACTCTAGGCTGATTACAGGTAGAATGTGTCACAAAAATAATCTTGTTGTCTCTTATAATCTATGCACAGCATGTATTCCACATGGCATTTTCTTTAATAGTATTCAGCTACTAAGTTTGCGAACACTGGTTTCTAAACTAAGAGAACAAATGCGTATTACAAAACAATTTGATAATAATTGTTGAGAAATGAAGCGAGTCTGCATTTAGAATGAGGTTAAATACTGGATTGTATATATCCCCGGTTTTGCTCATTAGCAGTGAGGTAAGACCTGCCACTCAGTGACTTATATTCAAAAATTCTTTCATAAAATGCACATAGTACTTATGATGCTTACCTGGTTCTTTCCTGAGGGCATTCACTCAGTGTTCTTTACAAATGTAAGTGGAATACTTTAATAGTTAAGTAAAAGATGTTACACGAGGGCAAATTGACACTATGTGCTGTCCCTACATTATTTCACAATAAGCAGATGAAAAATCAGTATAATCTGAAAAAGGTGTTTAAAATTATTTTTTGTGTGATTAAATATCTCTGGTTTTGTGGTAGTGATTAAGTTCTCCATGCATGTGAACTTATCTAGAAAGTGCTACTGTTGCTCATCAGTCTTCCACCTGCGAGTCTACCAGCATTTATTTGAAATATTTTTTCTGAGACTGCATGTGCTGTGTCTTGACTGCATGTGCTATTCTTATCAGTGCTTTTGTGGTAAACATGAATTTGTCATTCAACTGCTTAAAAATCCGCAAAAAAAAAAACCAAAACAAAACAAAAAAAAAAAAACAACCACCAACCAACCCAGCTCCAAGTGTCATTCCAATACCTGTTATGCTCTAGAAAGGGAATCACTTATGCCTGTAAGTTTGACTTGGTAGTTTTTGGAATAATACGATAGGTATATAGTACTGAATAGCCACAAAATTACTTTTTAGAGAGGAATGCTAACAGTTGACTTAGTCCTTGCACTTTGTGGGAGCAAAAACAGGTTTTAAAACACATGCTGACATAGTGCCAAATTTCTACGTTTTTGTGTTGGCTAAAACTTGCCTCTAACCACTCCAGTACTGAAAACCAGTGCAGTTCAGATGGATTGAACACTCTTAAGTTCTAGGTATAAGTGAGCAATAAATTTTCTATGTGTAAATTCGCTCTCTTTATATGCCGCTGTCTTCTATTAACTTGTATGTATCATGGTTGGAAATAGAAAAATAAAGACTAAAGGATAGCGTGAGAAACAGGGCCTTGGATATCATCCTTTGCTTATACTACCCCAGGAAATGAAGTAGAATAATTTCCTATGTTAATTGTGTATTCTGAAACATTAGAAGCATGACAATTGTTTTTTGGAAAAAATAATTCTTAACAGTACTCTCTGCAGTAGCTATGATTCATCTGCCCTGCATAGAGAGTATTAAGAGTCAGTGTAAAACTCAGTGAAAAACAGTTCACTATATATTTAATGCCAATAGTATTATTTGGATGTACTGTTTGCAGATGGGTTCCTAGATATTGCTGCAAAATGACAGAAAGCAGATTGAAATGTTCAGAATTCTTCAGAGCTTGTACATTGTTTCTAATAATACAAGTCCTTAATTGCAGTCAGTCATTTAAGATACCTCCTGGTATTACTGTGTTTTTTTCTCTCACGTTCTTTACTAGCTTGAGAAAGAAGGGAGTGTTGTTAGCTCAAACTGATGCCTTGGAGAATGGGCTCCAGTTTCTTTGATATTTCTGTTGTTGTGAGTACGTGGTTGGGGTTTTTCTGCATGTGAAATTTCAGGGAGCAGTGGGGGTGGGCAGGGGGGTGGTTGGTGTGTTTTTTGGTTTTGTTGTTTTCTTGTGGGTTTGCTTTGATTTGGGGTTTTCTGTATGGTTTTTTTTGTTCTTTTTTGCTTATTTGTTTGTTTTAATCCTTTGAGGAATCAAGACAAATTAATAAATAGAAAGAAATAACATTTTGCTGGGACGTCTCATAAGCCTTGATAGAGAGGATAAGGAAATGGACAAAATTGTGTATAGAAGTGTTAGTTCCAGAAGTGTTTGCAATGAAACTAAAAATTGGTTCCAGGGGGTTTATGGGATATGTCTGTGTCCCAATCACAGTGTTTTTCTGTATGCTGCTGATGCTTTTTCCCCCCAGTAATTCAGCAGACCACCATAAAATCCTAGTTTTGAGAGAATTGGAATAGAAAAGCACTCTCACAGCATAATTCAGCTGTGTAGTTCAGGTGCTTCTTGTGAAAAGCATCATTTATGTGTACGCAAAACACAGTGGTGAGGCTCTGTTTCAGGTGCTCAGAGTTGCTCTTTGGAGGTTCGATTCACCATTTTTACAGGGAGTTAATATTGAGAGGCTTATATGGTAATTTAGGCACTGCAGTTAGATAATTGGGGTCAAACAGCATGATTTTTTCCCTCTCATCACCTCCCAGATGTGTGAATATAAAAGGAGCTCTCTCTGTATAACAGATACCATTTATCCTGTGCTTCTTTTAAGAATGTCTGAAACTTCTTTCTAGATGTCAGCTCCTGAAATAGCTTGAAAGAGTAATTCTGTTAATACTGCAATCTTATATTTCTTCTCCTGAGAAGTTGGGGGTAATCTCTAAGATGTATGCTTCCCAGGATAAGTAACAAAGCTGTGGATCAGTCTGAAACAAAGGAATAGACAAAAAGTTGTAGTGGATGGAAGGAACTGCTAATGCAGCACTTACCAATCTGCAAACTTTTTGAATTAATAAACAAGTGCATCAGTGTGTGGTCTAACAGAATGAAAAGACTCCTGGATTCAAAGCTAAGCATGGATGAATCTGCAGGATTAGAACATCAATGTTGAGAGTTAAGAGCTTTAGAGGAAAAAATAAATCTTGTAATTTTTCATAGATATAGCTTGAACTCTAGATTAATTTTAGCTGAATTACAGTGGTAGCTATTCATGTAGTTAAGAGTAGGAATACTTCTAAGTCTGTGCATAATCTGGATATCGAATGCCTGTATAGACCCAGACAGTTTTCACTCTTCCTGCGCTGGCAATATGGATAATAAAGATCTTCAGGCTGTTAATATTGTCCTCTGTTTGGGAAAGGCAAAATGACAAGTCACTTGAAGCTCCTCATCTGCGTGTTTGTAGACAGACTAGCAAAGATAAAACTGTGCCCAGTCTAGTCTTCATCTTGTAGTGAGACTGCCTCTTGCTTTGCAGGCCCATTCACCTGATTCAGTTTGATCACAGCTTCCAGGGAGCAGAGTGGGGGAGATATGTTGCCAGCCAAGAGCTGTTGGAGACACAGATGGCATTGATTCCCTCACCTAAGCATATTTTCTTCCCTTCGGAGTATTTTACATAAATGAAACTATCACTCAACTTTTACATATAGAACTCCTTAAAATTAATTTTTTTATTGGTTGTTGTTACTTAGTACCACTCTACTATTACTGTATTAAAAGTTTCTTGGAAGATTATTCATTTTAATAAAAGTGTTGCAATAAGTAAATCAACTGCAATGCATGATTGTGCTATATTTGAAGTTATAAGTTGTAAGGCTTTTAGGATACGTAGAGTCTGTGGGGATTTGAAGAGCCACAGAACTTATTAGCTGCTTTGAAAGAACAATAAAATGAGAGGACAGTGCAATCAGTGAAAGTGCAGACTTTTCTGTGTCTCTCCTGATGAACACATTGCTTGCATGTGAGGGTTGATGAATTCTGCTATGCAGCTGTATCACTCCTGAAGTCAAACTGAGTCTAGAAACAGTTTGGATGTGTTTTACAGTGTCCAGGCTGAGAGGCTGTGCCAGTCTTCCCTGCCATCAGCCTGCAAATATGACGATTTCTGGAACACAATCCTGAGGCTTCTTGGTGGCTCCTCAAAGAGCCCCTTAGGGATTTCCAAGGTTTCAGCAGGTCTTATGAACCCAGCTGGATCTATATGGGAATGGATGTTTCAGCCCTGTGGTCCCTTGTTTTCTGAGCAGACTTGTTATGAATAGGGCCAGCTCAGGTTTATTGCTAAAACCATCAGTCTCTCTCAAAACACTGGGAAAAGTACTTGCAAAATTACTGGAGGCTTGTGTGGACTTTTTCAGGAAACATCAGATCCAGCACTGTGCAGCATTAAAGGTGAGTTTGTGTACAGTCATCTGTAGTTTTGCACTGCCTTCCCCAGCATGATAAAAAACACCTGTGTTTGCTTCTGATAGCCCTTCCCCCATCTAGAGTATCCCTACCTTTTGTTTGTCAAGATAAAGACTGTCATGGAGATCCCTAGTGTTGTGTAACTCTTTATTGTCAAAGATAATGGAAACTTTCCGATACAAATGCTTTCCTATAGGGTGATAAATGATTTTTTTTTAGGGTGGTTTTTTTTTTGTTAATCATTGTCAGTATAATATTATTTATTGAAACTTCTTTTTTTTTTAGTCTTAATACACTGGGAAGAAAAACTAAAAAAGTTCCTTACATCAACTCCTTGTGGCAAATTAAGCTTGTTTTTATATCTAAAACTGTATGATAAAAGGTTAATTTTAAATTTGACTGCAGTTTTGGGGGAAAGTATTGGTGGATTCAAGTTAGTGTCATGTGCTTTCACTGTAGTCAAGTTTGCCAAAGAGCAACTGCCTTGTTGCTTCTGTTCAGGACATTTATGTCTTGTTTTTCGAAAGCATAACAGAGTTCAAAGCCTAAAGCAGTCAGAAGTTATGTGCTCATTCCTTGGTTTATTCCTGAAGCCTCAGGGAAAGCATTTTGTGACTGTAGGGATTCTTTGTTACATGATTATGAAATGTTCCTTTTAATTCTTGGATACTTTCCTTGGCTGTTTCCAGTCCTCTTTTATTAGTATCTCTCACTTTTTGAGGCTAGACTTAGGTCTTGAGATTTCTTCAAAAAAAATCTCACTGCTTTCAGCTAACCCAGATGCTCTTAATAGTGTCCTTTGTTACAGCTGAACTAATACCTTAACCCTCTTTTGTTCCTGGACTTGGAATAGACAGTAGCAACACATGAAGTTAGAGATTATAAAAGTTATGGCCCTGTGAAGTTACTGCATAGACAATTTACATTGCACATGTAGCAATAATGAAAGAATGAATGTTAATGTTAAAAGTTTTGGCTATGAATGAAAATATATTACTAAAAGGTGAAAATATCATAGGTAACTTTGAAAACATATCTTTTTGTATGTGTTTAGACACAGTGGTCATGGGGCAGTGTTTTTCTGTTGTCCAGTTACACCATCCTTTTGGAAAGTCTTTCATATTAAGCCAATGATAGCAGCAAGCTTGCTGCTCTCCCTTCTGATCTTCTTTTACATTGTACAAATTTTTCACAGAATCACATAGGTTGGAAGGGAGCACTAGAAATTGCACAGCCCAGCTTCCTGCTCAACTGAGCCCGATAAGGGCGTGTTGCTCAGGGCCATGTCTATCCCTTGCCTCAAGGGGCAGCTTGTTCCAGTGCTTGACCACAGAGATATAAACATGAGAATTTCTGTAATAGCATCTCAACTACATTTGGCCCAATTAAATATTCCTATATTACGTTCCTCTACCTTTGTTTCAGTTTTTGATATCTGTGTAATATATACTGTTCCCTTTTCAGTAGAGCCTAACTGTGATGCTGAAACATAAAATATGAAATAATTTACACAAGTGTATCTAACTTGCAACAAGGTCTATATAAATGGCAATTTTTTAGGGTACATTCAGATTGGCAGAACCCAAAGCAAATGCACATTTGTGGTCTAAATTAACAGCTAAAAAAATGGCATAATAGTAGTGGACATCCAGGTTTTTCAGTGTTCTTGGTTACTGAGAAAGGTGAAACTCAGATGGGTCTTCTGAGGCATGACTGGTTTCTTTACGAAGATTTCTTGGACAGCATCTGGAATGAATGGGATCCAAGAACATTCTTGATAGAAATTATAGGTGGAATACTGCAAGCCTTATAAAAAGTAATCTGATTATTTCTTAGCAGCCACAATTCTGTTTTCTCAATGCTAGTACTTACCAAGCTGTCTTTGCAAACTGAATTCTTATTTAGAACCAAAAGCTAGCTCCATACTGGAAATAAAACGGGCCCAGGGATTGAGCTTGAGCACTGGGCCACTGCTTGTTCCCACTGTTTAATTACTGCAATCTCCCTGGCATGGTTTTTATCTATACTACCTAAAACTCTCTGGGACCTTTCTCTCTCCTGGCATGTTTTGGGTGATATCACATGCCAAGAGCCATTTCCAGCAGGCAGTGTGGGTAAGACTCCACTTCTGTTTCCTTCCACCCTGAACGGCCACATGACACTATCCCAGCAGGCCTTGTAGCCTCGAACACCTCAAGTGCCATCATGTCACACAGCAGGACAGGGAATAGACACCCTCATTTTCATAGCATGTGAATACTGTCCTAATAGCTGTGGTATAATCCTCTCTTTGAACTAAAAAATTCCCACATCTAATATCTTAAGGGCATAGGGGTGCTATGTAGGACCTGGATGAGTATAACTAAGATGATCTCAGAGTCAAAATATAAGGTCAGATGTTTACGAAGAGAGAGCATGAGCTGTGCTTGCAAATGAGAACTTTTTTACCATGACCTTGATAGATACATTTCTTTCTGTTTTAGGGGCATTGGTTTCCAGGAGGAGCAGGTGGACGTGTACAGTGAATAAGGTCAGTGCCTTAGACCTTTTTCCCATATTGGTTGCTTTCACTTTATTCTAAGTAATATACATGTTATTCCATCTAGATAGGCTGTTCTTTGCATCCTGTCAAAAAAAGTGTGCAACTGAATAACTGAGTCATGGATGTGTATACAAGGTAAATCCTGTAGTCTTATCTCACACAAACACACCCACAGTTGACCTAAGGAGGACTAGTGTGAAAATGGTGAAGTCAAGCATAAAGGTATTAGAAAACTGGAGTTAACGTTGCCTGTGGCTTTAGAAACTACAGCAAAGCCATACCTGTGCTGTCTATTCAGTACCTTGTCTGACTCAGTGGTTCTGTAACACAAATGACAATCTGAAATAATTCTTTCTTCCTCTTTGTTCAGCTCTTGGCCTTTTTATTTAAACTCTACTCTGAAGATAGAGTTGTGAATATTCTCATGATCTCTCCTGCAGTGCTTAAGAGCATGTCACAAAAATTCCAGTTCAGGAAAATTTCCTGCTCTGATATAATCTTGCTGTATCTCATGGAACTTTGCCATGAAGTTTCACAGGTACTGACAGCAGAGAGGTTAGACTCAGAAATCTGGGGTTTGGCTCCATTCAGCTCCAAATGGAAGTGCATGTGCTTCACACTTGCAGGAAGCGCTCAGGTTGTTTGCATTCCCTTGTTTGGGTTCCTGCAATCTGTTCCAGTCCCTTTGCCACTCCAGTGCTAACCACACTGTCTGTAGGCAGCACTGTGCTAGATATGTTTCCAGCATCACATTTCCCCTTTCTATCCCCTTTTCTTTCTTGCTTGCCAAAGTTCACTTTCAGCACCATTACCTTCCTAGCTGCTTTTCCCATTACTGTTTTCTTAGTCAGTCAGCTTCATATCTTAGTGCAGCCTGTTGGTGTGTTCATTCTGTGCCTCTTCTTACCAAAGGCCATTCCCCAGCAGCACCATCTCAGCAGCTTCATTTTGGTCTCATCCATGACCATGAAGCAGTGCCTCCATTTGCATGTTAACTGTGTGCTGAGGAACAGTCCTCTCTGAAAGCAGCAGAGGAGAAGCCAGGTGCTTGTTGTTCATGAGGAGTGTCAGGCTTGGCTGGTAAATTTGGCCTGGAAAGAGTGTGCTCAGGTACCAGTGGGAAGTGATGTGCATGCCATCTGGTCAGCTCAAAGTATAGTGGGAGACTTGAATATCCAAGCTGGAGATAGTAACTTATAAAATCTAAAGCTCTAATGCACATATATCATATTCTATCCTAAGGAACTGTGGTGTCCCTCATAGAAAAATCACCTGGTCATTAAATTTCACATGTACAGTTCAAGACATGATGTAACTAGCATTTTAAAAAATAGATCAGTGGGATATACGCAAAAAAAAAAAGGAAAGTAATTGAAATTTGTTGTGACTAAAACTTGGAGAAAAAAACTTGACTGAGGATGATGCCTAGCATGGACAATTTTGGCATGCCTTGTCAAAAGTCACAGAATTTATGCCAGATAAATTTGCTTTTACCTGGAAAACTTGCTAACATAAGTATTGGCATCATAGATGGCACCACTTGAATCCATTTGTCGTGGATTTATGTGAGAATTGTGTGTTACTGGAGGAAGGCCTATGGTCCAAGATTGAAAAATTTACTTTTGTAACATGGTAAAGAAGATGCTGCAACATAATTATTTTATGTCTGAAAAGGTAGGGGATTTCTAGTGTTTAACTTAGAATTTATGTTTTAAAGGTGTTTGTATTAACTGGTAATTTCTTATTTAAGTGTCTGAAGAAAACAAGAATTATGGAAGGTCATAAGTAGTAAGTATCTTGATTATTTTTTTCTTATTCTAAAGAGCTAATAGCATTTGGTACGTTGAATTGTCACAGCCAATCACACATTATGTTCTGGCATCTATTATTTATATGAAGTCACTAATGTCAGTAGACATGCTGTTTAAAAAGAATAAAAATAAAAACTGAAAAACTGCCAAAGACTAGAAAAACAAATTAGTTGACTAGATAGAAAAATAGGATATCAGTTTCCTGTGTAATGGAAATAAATATGAACTGTCATATTTCAAGAGGTTTTCTGTGATCATCAATTTCACAGTAAAGTACATTCTTCTTTCAGTTATATTTTCTGATTGCTTAACAAAACCTAAGTATGTGCATGGTTGCTTGACACAAAATCTGCCTTAAAAGGTATTGACAGGTTTCTACCAATTGTCCACCAAATATTTCAGTAATGTGATTTTGAGTATTTCATTATCTTAATCTTAAACAGAAGTCATTAAATGAAATTAGAAGCTGAATTTGTATGTAGTAGTAAAAAATTATATTCCTCTTATTCCTTCAATTGGTTTATCAGTCTTGTAATTCAGGAATCTATGTTAATCTCAGCATTTTTTCTTAATCTTTTTGTGACCTGATATTAATAACTCATTTTTATTCCTTGCACGATGCCTCTAGAATTTCTGGTAATCTCAATTGAGGTAGCTATCAAGGCTATGAATTATGGTGTTTTCTTGACTTGACCACTGAAATGAGATATCAGTTATTTGCACAGCTGTAGCAGAAGTTAAAGCACCCAAACAGAACAGCTAGGGCCTTTATAATACCCTGTGAGCAGTTTGACAGGGTTTTTTAATTAATATTTTAGAAATAATGCTACTTTTAAACTTTCGGATTCTGTTTTCTCATAATGCAGGGTTATTTTGCTATTTGTTAGAGATTGTAGATTTTGTATTTTAAAGGTGTAGCATTTATCAAGTCAATATAGTCTTCACCAAAGTTGATAGGCTGTCTGTTGTCCATGTGTGTAATGGTTTGTTTGTACAGAATTCCAAATGAAATGTGGTATGTTTTGCATGTGTTGTTTATTTTCTGCTGTATCACCAAAAGACCTTAATTTTAATTAAATACATAAATTAAATTCTTTGAACTAATGTTTGTGTAGAATTAAGTAGGTAAATATTTTCACTTTTCAAGTTTGGAGAAGAAGCCAAGAAGTTCTGTGTATAAATGCTTTTTAAAATTTAAAACTGCTCACTTCCAGTTTAATTTCTTACCCTCTCTTTGGTGATTAAGGCACCATTGCCTAACTCACTGATTAAAAGTAACAAAGCAAGTAACATACCCCTGTGAAACAAATTTCCTTTTCAGGTTAAATTGTGTCACTAGTAACTCTGTAAGGTAGATGTCCTACCCTTTGGGGAAGTGTATCAGTGGCTGGTTTTTTTCAGAATAGCTGCATTATTTCACAGCAAATATATATATATATATATATATATATATATATATAAATCAGAGGATCATAAAATGGTTTGGGTGGAAGAGACCTTAAAGATCGTCTAGCTCTAACCCCCCTGCCATGGGCAAGGACATGTGTCTCAGTACATGACTTGATGTGTGTGTTGGGTCTGAAGACCTCTTGGGGTAGCATCTCTGAACTGTCTGTGTGTTGTGGTCAGTATCTCACTGATGAGCCACAGTTCATCACTCCAGAGGTAGAAGATATTGTTTTTCAAGATAAACTCAACCTCTTCAAGTTTCCTGGAATATTTGATATAGCAATTTTTGGCAACCATTTACTTCTAAAGAGCTGCAAAGTTACTGCAGCTTTTTAAATATGAATATGGGGGAAATGCATGTTCTTTTGCAGAAATGAACAATGGAATAACACTTCCTAAAAGAGGTCAAGATTTCATTGTAAGGCTGTATTTTCTATTAAACCATCTTGGTATGGTTTGACTATTGTGGAGTATGTAGTTTGCCTGTAGATTACACTTTTTATTAGATCTGCTACAGGAATGCAGAATCATCTGTCAATAAAAAATAATCCTTGAAAAAAAGGTTACCTGTTACACACCTACAGTTGTCATGTAGTCATTGTATAAAGAAAGATGTGAGATATCAGTCTTTCATATAGCATGCTCAAAAGAGATGAGGGTTCTTCTATTTCTTTTTTTATTCAATTACAAAAAAAGGAGAGCAAGAAGTGGTCTAATCCCATGAATAAAATGAGCTGTGTGAAGTCCTGACAGTGCTGAAATGCCATGAAAATTGCTACCTGCTTAAGCAACTCTGCTAGTTGAAACTCTCTTGTTAATTATATAAAATAAAAAGTTAATTCCATGGGCTATAAATCATTCCATAATACATTCGAAAGAGTTCTTTGCGGCTGATTATTTGGCAGTACTGCATGCTTAAGACATTTGAATTGAAAGCAGTGTATTACTTTCCAAAGTAGGATTGGAAATATAGTACTGATGTATTTGCTTTGTTATTAATGCATAATGAGGAAATGCATGTTAGAATATATGTCTGCATGCAAATGCAATATTCTTAATATAAAGGTATTAATTAAGCACATTAGATGTAATTTTAAAGCATCCAATTGAAGTTTTCAATTTTGTTTCTTAATCTTCTAGCAATTATCCAAGAGAATTTTATGATCAATATGCTCAAAGCCAAGAAAAATCTGTGGTCAATAAAATGCAGCAGAAATACTGGAAAACAAAACAAACCCTTATTAAAGTTACAGGAAAAAAGGAAGATGAGCATGTTGTAGCTTCAGATGCAGATCTGGATGCAAAACTAGAGGTTTGTAATGTTTGCATAATGTGTGTTCACTGTTTGTTAATGTTTAAAGTGCTTTTATTCTCACCAAGCCTCTAATATGTGTACACATAGTATATAATAATATATATATTTTTTACCATCATTTTCACGTAATATCTTTTCCAAATTTTGGCAAAAGTACCTATGTAAATTCAGTGAATATAGTGCCATTTTGTAATACAAAACCCCATGTCCTTCAAACTTTATTTGGAACCTAGCATCTTCTGGCTTTACTTTCATGTGTTGGGGACAGATCTTTTCCTTTTGTTAGCAGGGGAGAGCAGGAGATCATCCTTATCCTTTGCCTATGTCAGTTTAAGGTAGTTTATTTTTTTTTAATACTATTCTATAGTGTATACAAATGACAATCTCTATAGAGATACAAAATACCACATATATCACAAAAGCATGCAATATACCGAGAAGGAGCAAGGTGCATAGTGCGCTCTGTGCTCTGGAGTTTTTGAGCATATTAGTGGGTTCTGACATGACCAAAGAACCTTCTGAAAGTCTGTAAGATATAAACAAGAGAAAAAATCCTGCTGTGTGACAAATACAGTCCTGCTGTCAGTATCCTCATCCCCACTGAGGAAAAAAAAATAGCTTAAGGTTCTACAAATGGAAGAGCTCAAATGAATTTGAGACAAAGTAAAAAATAGAGGATGGACTACAGAAGTGTAACAATCCAGTTTGTATCCATGTAAGTTTTGTTGGTATTGTTCTGTTAGGTAAGGATAAATGTTTTGCCTTACTGATTTTCTTGCAGTTTCTTAAAAAAAATATTGACTTCACAGTTTATTCAGGTTTTAGCTGAAATACAAGAGGCTGTTTTACAACAAACAGTAGCAGTAACTTATAATATGGTGATTCTAGCTATGGGGTCTTCATGATGGGTTATAAATCAATAGTACTGATGCAAAACAAGCTGGAAGGATGGAACAATATTTTTTAAATACATACCTGAGTTTCTACCATGTCTGCTGTATTGCGGATTCATCACAAAGGATGCTGTGTTAGCTCAGGTGGGATTGGAAATAGGGAAACTTGTGTTTCAAAAAACTAAAAGTGTGTTTTCACTTGGACGCTTTCTCACCTACAAGTCACACTCCCAGTTTAAAAGACAAGACCTGTGTAAATGTATAGGAAGTCAAGCAGCTGTGAAGGAAGGCAGCTGCTGTGCTAGCAATCCATTTTACTTAGTTGTCTAATGCTTGATATGGTGGAGTTTAGGTATAAGTTGCAGGTTGGAGGTTTTAGATGGAGAGATAGAAAGAGTAGTATACTTCACAGTATGAAAAATTCAGTATGCATATTGCCACCTGTGATAAACATGATAGACATTTTGATAACTCTTTGCTCTACTGGGAGTTTTTTAGAAATAGATTTGTGTATCTCTCTATATATCCAAAGATATCACCTAAAAAAAAAACCCCAATGCAGGTAGTTTGGTTAACTGTCAGCTGTTCTTTTGTAAGTTATGATTGGTCTGTAGTTTCAGTGGATAACTTAATTGAAAGAAAAGCACAACTGGTAAGGAAAATACTTTCAGGCTGGAAAGATTTCTCATTGTTCAAGAAGGAAATAATGATCCCTAATAATTTCTACAAAAAATTAAGTTCTTCTGTGTATCTTATTCATCAGTATTTCTTGCATGCACTTAACAAACTTTTTGTGTATTTTGTTTCAATATCAGCTGTTCCATTCTATTCAGAGAACATGTATGGAGTTGCTGAAAGCAATTGAACTGTATCAAAAAAGGATTTGTTGTAAGTATGATCAAACACAGTAATTAAAATGGTAAGAAGGTCTGCATTATGGAACCATTAAACAAGTGAAAAAGGGAAAATTAAAATAGGGAACTACTAGTTTCATCCTGTTTTAAAGTAAAAATAACATTCCTTGCAAACAGCTAAAAGCAGATTTTCTTGTTTGCTTGAAGATTTCCTAGATCTTAAGTTTTATATATTGATATAATGCAGTGATAGGTAGCAATAGTTACTGGAGAAAGCTTTCTTGAAGTTCTTTTTCTCACTGCTTGCTTGGCTTGTTTAAATTCAGAAGTCTCTTGTCTAGAAATCCCAACTCCTTTCTAAACTGTTTTAGTTTTTCTTTCCATCAGGATTGATGATGAAGAATATTTGGCTTATTACTAGTTTTATAATTAAGGAATCCATGCTATTATGATAAATTTGATAATGCTGACTTGGCTGTAACAAATGTACAGTAATTAGTGATGGTCATTAGTAAGAGACGGGGACCTAATCTGGGAAGTTTCAAAAGGCAAGTTGTATTAAATGTCTGCTAAAGGTTCTCTGCAATCAGAATTCTCTGCAGCTGTGATTTTTGGCTTGGAGAAGAGAATCCAGCTTTGGAGTCATCTTTCAATTTACCTTCTTTTCTTGAATGTTATCCATATTTTCTCAAGCCTTTCATTTTTCTTTTGCCTATCCAAAGAGTCAGGGATAATGTTTCAGAATCTGGAGGTAAAATTGAAATAGAGATTAGTAGGGTATTGAGTTCAAGAAGTTCCATAGGAGCAGGTGGAATCTCTGATGCAGAGATGTGCATGCAGAATGTTCTACCAGAGTTCTACCGTAGTCTGCATTGGAGTTGACTGTCATTTTTACCAAAATGACAGGAAGACTTCAAGAGATCTTCTTTTGTTGTATTAGACCACTCTCCATCTTAATAGTGGGAAGAAATTGGTACTATAGGAGACAGACAAGGCCATCATGAAATGTTTCTGTAAGGATCATGAAGATCTGTGGTCCCAGTTTGGAAGTAGTCAACAATTCAGTGTAAAAACACTTTTCTTCCTCTTCCTGTTTAAAAAACAATCAGTTACTTTGAGGTAGACATATTTCAGATAGTTGAAATGTTGTGTTTGAATAGTGTAGAATGCTAAAATTGTCAAGTAATCTTGCAAAGTAATTTGAAAATAAATGTTCTTTAAAGTGAAGTGCTAGACTTTTCATATGAAAACTTTTTATGTAATCAAGCATGAAAACTGGTGAGCAAGAGAAAAGCAGGTGAATTAGCTTCTGTGAAAGTATGCTACCAAAGATCAGCTGAGGCAGTCCAAGTGGTGAAAAAGAATTTAAAAACCAAACAACCAAAACCAGACAGAACCCCAAAAATCTAACATTAAAAGATACTACAATCAAGACTAGACCCTTTTTGTAATCTAACCAACCTACTTTTTTTTTTTCCAAGAAATACCATGTTTCTCCTGTTGTCTTTTGGCATTGATGGAATTTTGTGACTCTTGTTAAGTATATCTGTAAATGTCTCAAGTAAATCAGATCTTATGTTTATGAAATGCAGGAATATTGTGAAATTATTTACTTTTGCTTTGCTGCTTGGACTTAGACTGACTTAAACTATTTGATGTAGGCAGTTTTAAAGCTGTTAGAAACCAATTAAATAACATATTTGACCACTCATTTATTTTTTGTTAGTTCTGTCTCAGGAAGAAAACGAATTGGGGAAATTTCTTCGATCACAGGGTTCTCAGGATAAAACAAGAGCAGGAAAAATGATGCAAGCTACAGGAAAGGCCCTCTGCTTTTCTTCTCAGCAAAGGTATATGGGTCGACATTACTGTCAGATTTACAAAGTACATGTGATAATCGTAGTTGAGTCATTGCTGGCATAATTCATTTAGCCATTGGAAATGTGTGAGGAATCAATTGATAGGAAAGTTATTGACCAAACCTGCTGTAGTATTGTCAATATTACTGGCTTATTTTTCAAATTTTGCCTGATCCTGCTTTTTGTCTTATGGACCTGCTGTGTCTATATCTCCAGTGCCTATTCAGGTCAGCAGTTCTAAAGCTATCCTGGTGCATCTCTGTGGCCTCTCTAGCAGTGAGGTTGTAAGGGAGCTGATGTCAGGTCCCTCCTCTGCTTGGTGGCAGTTCTCACTCTGCAGATAAATGCTACAACAGGCTCACTGTAGAGGTGTCTGGGTCCTGGGAGGGAGGGAAATGAGTAAGGAAATACTTTTTTTTTTCTGGACCATGGAGTCTCATATCTCAAGTAGACAGAGGAGAAAGGAGGAGTCTGAATGTTATTTTCTGCTTTAACCTTACACTATGAAGCCCCCACCCCCAGGAGAAGATCCTAGAAGATCCCTTCTGAGCTCACGTAGATTAGGTAGAAGCAAATCAGTAAAAGGTAAGGAATCCAGAGGGACACACATGCACACAAGCATATGCTGTTACCCAGAGCCCTTGATGTCTCAGTGACCCAGTGTTTGCTCAAGGAGTTTAAAAGTAACAGTACCTGATGGCATTATGAGTATTATGATGCTTTTTTTTAACGGTATTGGGACCACGGAAGTTTGAAATTTATCAGCACTTGCAAGGGAGAATTTTATTCCATTATGTTTTACAGGTTTTGGGGGGGCTTTTAACTATTGTGATACTTCTCAGCTTTAGCTTAACAGTGCAGCTGTTTGGCTCAAAATAAAATATTCCATACAGAGCACTGAGAATTTAATATGTTTACCTTGGGCTAGAGTTTGGTCATTAGCACCTCCGGTAACAACCATGAAGGGGATCTTAAAAGCGCACGTAAGGCACCCTTGAGCAAAAGTGCTGATGGTTTGCTTCTTTATAAAGCTTAACTGTTTGTAGAAATCTCAGTGTATGGCATATCTACATAAACTGAATTTTCCTTTGGATGTCTAGGTAAGTATTTGTAGACTGAGAATAAATGGGGGGAAAATCAAAAAAGCCACACTTAAATGTTCACATTTTATTATATGTCCTGCTCAATGCATTTTTAAGGGCATCTTTTAAAATAAAATCACATAAAAATAAAAACAACTGATTTTCTTCTCTTGAGCTATCCTCAAACTCATGTTGAAGTTGGGACTACTTTTATTTATGTTGCGTGCCAATAGCTAGCTCAGTAGATGGAGATCAAGAAGACATAATTTCTTGATTACTGGAGGTGAAATCAGAAATTCTCTTAGGCCGGGGGTCTTCCTAGCACATTAAACTAAGTCTGTGCTCTTGTGGAATGGATTGAAGCCATTCCAGTGAGGTCACTGCTTGCAAGAAATAGGAAAGCAGAAGCAGCAGGAGGAAGCAAAGCAAAAGTTGAAGTAATCCTACTTAGTTCTGAGATACCATTAGGAGCTGAAGTGATGGCATAGGGAAGACAACAGTGTCCCCTACTGCCTTTCCAAAGTGTGGTTGCCAGAAAAAAACATTTAGGAAAATGTCCAAATCCTTCCAGAAGATAAATATCTTTCAAAGGAATTGTTCAGATTCCTTAAAAAAAACAAAACAATAATTACCTACTTGACAGATGACTTTTTTTATTTACATTTACATCTGAAGATTAAATGGCTAATTAAAGTGCTTTTTGTGGGGTTTAACGTGTTAATCCTGATACCACTGTGGTATTTATCCAGTAATAAATTACTTCAGGAACATTTTTAGAGTTGTTAAATGAAACTTACGGAAGGGGAATCGTAATAACATACACATAAGCGGCTTGGCAAACTAAAATACATAGATGCATTAGAATAGGGTCCTTTTTCACTCACACATGTAAATAAAACCTCACTTCTTGAACAGGAGGATTGGAAGCACAATATTCATGCAAAATTACCCCGTTCATGTCCACCCCCAGCCAAGTTACAGAACTATCTGAACATACACTAGCACTTAACTATTTTGGCTGTCAGTAGCTGCATTACTCCTTTGTTTAACAACATGTTTAACACATTCCTCTCCTTCCTTTCTTTCCTTCATGCCTTCCCCCAGATTAGCACTCCGTACTCCTTTGAGTAGATTATATCAAGAAGTGGAGACTTTCAGATACAGGGCCATCTCAGACACCTGGCTGACAGTAAACCGAATGGAACAGTATCGGACTGAATACAGAGGAGCTCTACTCTGGATGAAAGATGTGTCTCAAGAGTTGGATCCAGATCTTTATAAGCAGATGGAAAAGTTCAGGAAGGTATGAAGTTTCCTGTAGTTTCATAGAAGGGGCTGCCTGATAAATGATGATGAAGCATGATTTTGGTTCTTCTGAGGAGGACATAATTCAGAAGCATTTATCTTAACTGATCTTTTCTGTGTGGGCTCTAAGGAAAGGCATTTTTCAGTACTGTTTTCAACTTCAGCATGCATCTTTATAATTTAAATAATATATATTTTTAAAGAAGATTATCCAGTTTTAAATACTTAGCTGTGATACCTGAATGACTAATAGAAGAAGGTATGTCTGCAGTCAGAGGGGAAAGGGAAAATTGATTTTTGTAACTGAGAGTACAGAAAAACAGATGCTGTACTATCTGCTGCTAAATTTTAGAGTGCAGTTAAAGACAAACACTTTCAGAATTGGCTGGTTTTGTATTTTGGGGAGGAGCTGTAGATCTGGAGCTTATTTTTAAGTTCCTTATGCAGTTTGGCGTGACTCTTGGGCAACTGCTAAACACTAAAACTGCTAGGAATGCACTCTCCATAAATCGTCTTTGTTCAGTGTCACTCAAGTTTGCTAAATTCCTCCCCTCCCAAAAGACTACCAAAATCCCAAGTCCTAGGTGGTAGTCTGCAGTTTTGCTACCAGGTTTGAGTATAGAATTTATTTGAGCTGATCCTGTTAGTTCAGGAATGTTCATGAGAACTTCACATTTGCTAGTGAGGCTCTAGAGCCGAGTTTGTTACAAGTCTATAATGTTCACAGTTTGCTGTTTATGTATGCTGACTATCAGGAGGAGTTGGGATCTTAGGTACTACTGTCCTGTTCTTTGAGTAAAAGCAGTAAAAAAAAAATACAGAAATTGTTGATAATTGAAAGTAAAGGTCTAATAACAGAAATTGTATTAAAGTGTGTATATGTACATGTGTGTGCATATGGCTTAGAGACGGGTAATGTTTAAAAAAGAAAGCACTGTTCATCAGTAGCTTAAGCAATCTGTAACTGAAAGTGTTTGGAGATAAAAGATACTTAATTCAGGACTTTAAAAGTTTGAATAAACCATCCTAACGGGAAAGGACTGGCATGCATCTAGGCTGTGCCATTTTTTGTAAACTGAAGTGGTGACATTAGCAATTAAAGAAAGGATGGAGCAAATGATACCCGAGTTAGTCATCTAATCTTTATTTAATGCTTCAGTACAGGATATTCCTGTAAGTCTTGTGGCACCAGACATGTATTTTATTATGCCTTGTGGGAAATGTTTGTAATGGCAAGTTCTTGCAGGTAAAATAATTGGCATGGTCTTGGCCTCAGCTGATTGCTTATGTATACTGTTTGATTTATTAGGAAAACACTTAAAAATGGAATGTTAGAATGAATAAAGCAGTACTGATAATGGTCATAGAAAACTGATTTATAACTTTCTTTCAAAACAAGTGCTATGGAAGGCATAAATTATATAGATGACAAAGTAATTAAAATAATGTAGGTTTTGTGCAGTGAGCTGCTATAGTTAAAAACTTATATGAAATTTCAGTGATTTTGGGTTGCTATGCTTCAAGGTCAGCAAAAAGAGAATTTTTTTTTTAAAGAGTTCTCACAAAACTTAGTAGTAAGTGGAAATACTAAGTTCTAAGTATTTTGAAATATTTCTAGGTCTGAAATCCATTACAATTCTGACATGAAGAAGTGAATGTAGATTCTAAAATTCTGTACTGTTACCTCAAACGGTTAAAATACCCCAAACTTGAAAGTCTTTTGAACAGTTCTTTTCTCCAACTGTCTGTCAACTGAATTGGCAGAGAACAAAAAGCTCTACATTTTGTAGCCAACAAAGTAAAGAAATGCCCCTGGTATTCACTTCCCTACATATGCCATCTGTGCAACAGGCATATCAAATTAGTCTTTGAAGATTTTAATACTTGCAGAAAGTAAACTTTTTCCTTTTTAATTGGGGGGGAAAAATTACTGAAATAAAATCCTCAAGCATAGTGTTCCTAGGTAGCTGTTGCTGAGCAAGATGCAAGTGTGTTTTTTAGTGCTTTACAAAAACTAACGATGGATAAGGTAGTCCTAAATAATTAAAGTAGAGTAGTTTTTATTGTCTTTTTTTTCTATTTTTACTTGCAGATCTTAATTGTGCCATGGTGTGGCAGTGTAATGCTGAGGTTTTAGGGCTTTTTTTGAGTCTGTAACAGCAATTTAAGAAGTCATGCTAGTTTTGCGTTGAGAAAGATGTTATAATTGCTGGTATAACGTTTTTGGTTCTAAAGCCATTGCCAGAGAGAAGTGTTTTGATCTGGAGCTGCATATTGAGTGATACACCACCAAATAGTTATTGAAGCTGATCCTGTCAGAGCACTTGAAAAGAGTTTTTTTCAGACTTCTGATTGTAAAAATTCTAAGTATTACTTCAGTAAATTTTTTTATTTCAAGTGAACAGTGCTGGTTTTTTTATTTCAAGTAAGCAGTGCACCTTTAATGCACCTAGTGCAACAACAGTATTTATATCACTTGGTTAAAGGACTGTTTTTCAAGTATGAAGCCTTTTATAATGTAATCCTAAATGTATCATTATGTATACAGATATGGTACTTGTTTTTGGAGACCAAAGCTAAATCAATCCAGATGGGGTTTTCATACCTTCCCTCAGAATAGCTCAGGCTAAAAGATCAATAGTTGAGTCAGTATTTTCAGAGCTGATAAAATCTGAGTTAAAATGCTGGCATTTTGTAGCTCTCTTTCAAAACAATGAGGTACATGAAAGAATTTTCTAATGCTATTCTTAAGGCGTCAGCCTAAGTATGCAAGACCCAGACTTTCAAAGTCTCTCAGAACACTGTAGAGCAGCCTTTTTACATTGTTGTTTGAAGATATCTCTGTGATTGTAGCTACTTGAGTCAAAATAAGGAAATAGATGAAGTTTTAGCTTTCACTGCAGAATTCTATAAATGCTATATAACTTTATTCTTTTTTTTTCTATTAACATTTTTTATGAACAATCCAGTGCTGTTCTGGATATAGAGGTCTTCCATCCCGAGTTCGGAGTTTGAAGTGTTCCTTGAGGGATTCTGTGATATTTAGGAGAATCTGAATGAGCTAATACCCCTTCACCAAATTCTCCACACTGATCAGGTTTTTAAGGTTCTTAAATCTAGGCTGTTTTATCTGTCTGGAGACTGTACACTATAACATGAGCTGTGCTGTCATGTTGTAAAAATATAGACCAAATTGCCCAAGTGCTGATGTCCAGGAAGCTTTTCCAGGCATTTTCTGAGAAGGAATGTGACAGTGTGTATGCATTTCAGTGCCACCCATAACAAGTAAAAAGTGAGAGCTGAAAAAAATTATCATGCTGACCTCTAGGCTAACTATAAGAAAAATTGCATCTGTGACATGATAGGTTATTTATCGTGCTACGTTGATAAAGCAAATTAATCCTTTCTGTATTTCTTTTTCACTTCCATTCTTCTACTCCTCTGCTTTCCCTTTGTTCTGAGGCTTGAACCAAAGCTCTAGAGTATGTTTGTAAATACCCAATGGCTATGCTGGGATCCCTGGGACAAGCTGCACTGCAGCAGTGTACTGAGAACTGGGTACCTGGATGTTTGGGCTCTGTTTCTCCCTGTTGTGTAGACCTCTGCTTTTGCCAAATCTGCTTTCCTAGGAGCTGTGCTTCTCTATGAACCAAATGAATCTCAGATGGGACAAAGAATGGGTTGAAGCTGCATAAGGGTAAAGAGTGATGCATGGGCTGGTTGCAGCAGAGCTTTCTAAGTGCTATTGGATTGATCTGCTTGGCATACTGTGCAAGTCTTGTATCTGTCTATGGTACTTGGATATTACAGGAATTAATATTTGAGTATTTAAAACACTATGCATTAGACTAGGTGTTATCTGCAAAAAGAGTTGAGTGTTGATCAATATAGTTGCATGGGATCTGTGATGGAAACAAGTAGCATGGTTTGTGCTGGGCTTCTTTGCTGAACCCTGAACTATTTCAGAGGTGTTAACTAAGTGGAATAGATTTTACTGTAGAAGAGATTTGTCAAGATATCCCCCCAAAGATCCTGAATTATTACAGAGCCCTTAATGTCAAGCTGTTACTTTGCATGCAACCGTTGAGAAACTTTCAAGCTTGCAGCTGAGTTGTTTGGATACAGTTTATCTCCACTTCTTCCTAGTTGTAGCCCTCTATATACTTGAAACAAAATGAATGCCCTTAAATGGCATTTTAAAGATAAATCTGGCAAGAGAAAAGGAAAGGCACTGAGGAAAAGGAAAGTTCAAGAAGAACTCATAATGACATAACAATAAGTTAAACTGTTGTTGTTATAAATATACCAATGAAGGGAGTAGCTGATCTATGCAAGTTCTCTTTAAATATCTTTAAAAAATAAAAGTTAAACCCTGTGTGGACAGCTGGGAAATAATGAAGATCTAAATAAATCCATTGATTTAAAGGTCAGAAAGGAAACACTGAAGTATATGTATTCATTGTAAAGATCGCAGCAAGTCTGGATAAGATACATCTGCCGTGGCCTTTCAGTGAGGCTCGAGACCTACATCTCAGTCCCCCTGCTGCCCCCTTGCCTATTAGCACTGCCTGGCATGAGATTTGGCTTGTGTGATGATGAAGGCACTGTACCACATTACAGCATCATCTGCTACTCACATATCCATTAGCATCAACTGCAAACAGCCCTGCAAACCTGAAGGCACTGTGGAAATTTACTGGAGTATTATTTTAATTTTTTTTCTTAATTCTCTGTTACTTTTGAAAACTTGGAGAGTTGGGAAAATGCAAAAAGCCTAGGAAAGGAGAAAAACCAAATATGATGCTGATCTTTGAAACGAGAACAGACTTGGCAGTTACCATCCTTGGAAACTAAATTTTAGTTTCTGGTAAAAAAAAATTAAAAGGAAACCTATAGGCATTTAGAGGCTAGCAAACTGAAGAGCAAGTAAAAACACAGGTTTATGAGTTACATTACAGGTTGGAGGTTTTTTTTGTTTTGCATTTTCAATCAAAGTAT